ACCGTGAGCAATATCAGCGGTGTCCGAGCCCGTCGCGGGCCCTCCCTTCGTTGACACAGCCCTAAATCTCTACCCTCGTGGAGATTTAAGGCTGTATCTACCCTGGTAGAGTTGTCAGGCTCATGTGAACATCAGCACTGAGGAGGCAAACTAAATTAAGGGTGGTTTTGTCCACAAACCTTGAACTTCTTTCGCACCTTACGTAGCCAACCGTGCTAAATCGGAGGTGCCATACCTGGCAGGCACTCATGAACGTCACCTGCCACAACAGTTTTTTGTGTTACCGCTAAATGGATACGTTTGTGTCTTGGTGAGTGAGGGTGCACACTTGAATATATTTTACCACGAATTATTGTTGCAAGAGAAAATATGTGGGAAGAATAAAACCCATAAAACGCATCTTAATGGCTCTTCACCCTTGTGTATAATGTGATTGTAAATATGTGATAGTCGTGTCCTCGTGATCCAAGTGTCTCTAGTTAAGGATAGGGGCCTCCAGTGTTCACACGATCACCCTCTAATTGATTCTGGATAGGGACGTGTTCGTTTGCATTACTGTACTCGCTGTAGATTAATTAGCCTCTACTGTCCTGGGCTGATTATCATTTAAATTGAAAATGTATGAGAATTAAATAAAGAATTGCCCTGGCAGTTTAATTGATTAACATTTTAAGTATAAATGTTATTATGTAATTAGAAATTAATTTGGAATGCAAATGAAGTGTCAGAAGGGTAAAGTGGATTTGGCAGCATATCATCCAGCGTGTGGATCGTGGTTTAGTTCAAGAAGGCGCCTGTAATGCGAACATTCATCGGCATTGTGCAGGTGTGCTCTGGACAAATATCAGATGCTATCTAAGCACTATCCAGGCTAAAACTTGCTTATTTTCTGAGATCTGCGTGCATTCCGGGAGGTTTGGTCATAGGCATATAATTAGTAATCCAAAGTAAAGTGAATATGCCTCCATGCTCCAATAAGCTGCACTCGCCTCTAGTTGGCCCTGAGCCAGTAAGTGGAAATTCCACGTTCCTATGACAATGCCATCCTGGGAGGGGTGATGAAGGGCTGTCAACCACTGACAAGGATTAGACCTCACGACCTTTTGATTGTGTGCTTGGGCAGTTGAACCACCACAGCACTGCGAGTACAGATCAAGCTTGAGGAGAGCATCCTAAGCATTATGGGGACGGACACACTTATTAAGAGACAGACCATACTAGCCAGACAAAACCCTATCCTCATCGCTTACTAACTTGGGATGCATCTTCTTGGTTCTTTCGGTAAAGTCATGTAGAAGGGAAATAATAAAATAATACAAATTTAACATCATAAAATACAATTCTCACGACGTTTCGGCCACAACGCAAGCAGCTGTCCTCAGGTGAAGAACTAGTCTGTCGGAAAGAACCAAGAAGATGAATCCCTGCAGTCACGAAAGCTTTAAATCGAAATTTAATTTGGGATGCTAACACTCAACTCTTAACTCGGTGAGCAGGTAGATATTTTGCCTTTAAACTTTTGAATAAGATATCATTGCGGCTCTCACAGAGTCTACATGAACACACTGCAGCATAACACGAGGTCAGTAGCTCATGTGAGAATGGCCAATCTACCACGGACAGCTCTGCCTCTTGGTGCTTCAGAGCCGAGCCAGGGCTGCCCTCTGAGACTACTCGCCCGCAGGGTTGACAGGGCTTTGCTTTAAAGAAAACATACAATATTTATAGAACGTATAATCCTCTCTTTGTGGCCGCGATATAGCTCAGTTGGCGAGCAACAGGGCTTCCGGTTGTGAGATCCTCTCCTGCATTCAAATGAAGCCCAGAGTCGGCTAAACCTTAATTTGTCCCGGCTCATTTACATAAGTGCCGCCCAGTGAGCACCACTTTGAGGGTTTATTAGAAACTACAGTACAACCTTCCTATGAACAGGGCATCGTCCCTGTCAGCCCGTCCTAAAACTATTAACTAAATTAACTTTTATTTTATTAGGTAAGGCCCACTGAGCTATACAGTTATTTTTTAGAAGTGACCTGGCCACAAATGATAGCTAAACAAAGTGGCTTATGTGGAAATGTATAGCAGCCAAATACTCTCAACGTGTGTTTCTAAATGTGGAGGGAAAAACCGGAGGGCCCGGAAAAAATCCACGTGATCTCGAGGAGAACTCGGAAACTCCAAATATACAGGAGTCAGAGTCTGGCTCGAATCCACGACCTCCTGCATACCCGGGTCGGTAGTTAGCATCTCGCCCCTGTGGCGTCCTCTAACATGTATGTCTGCCAGTCAACATATCCACCTTCATAGCCAATAATTCTGCCTCCAAACACAACATATTTACATCACTTCCCAGAATTTCTGCCTCCATACACGTTATATCATATCATGAAACCACAATATCTACCTCCATGGTTTTTCACACCCTATCCAACATGCTTGCCTCTCTATCCACAAAATATCCAGCTCTTTACCCAGTCAACCACTCTTCACAACTTGTTCACCTCACTTTTCCAAAACAGCAATTGCCAATTAAACTGAACTCAAGAATGATGCTCAGTGCGCTTATCGCATGCCAGGCAGTGCACCAACTCATTCTCATGAACGTTATTTTTGACCTCTGTTGCCCCTCCCCCTTCTGCCATTAGCCCCCCCCCCCCTCCTTCCTCAACGTTGTACACAACTTGGGTCAAGTCTTTTTTTTGACCTACCATAATGGTCATAAGGTTTAAGGTCATAAATAGCTCATGTTCAATGATCGTGGGCTCCCGTTTTATTCTGGTCCCAATGTGCCCTCGCTGGATTCTGTATGATGAAATGTACATGCTGTGACCGACACACTAACAGACAAATGAAACCGCTTCTACCTAGAGGGTATCCACCGATGAGATCGGTTCATGTGCAGGTTGTGGATCGATTGTGGCACCACAGGATTGTGAGAGGTGGGGACGGCTTGGGGAGGCCCTCATTCCACAGTCGATTGTTCATCGCTAACGACGTTGATGATGATGATATACAGATACCAACATGGTTTTTATACATTATGCACACTTTTTTATTTTGCACCACAAAAAAATATACACCCTGAGCTACAAAATATTAATAACCGTGAAACCGACAGTTGCAACCCTAGGAGCTGTGTGGCTTCAGGGAACCGAAACCGCAGTGCCGCGTTATAAATGGTCCCTGCTGTAATGACCCAAGGGCTAGCGGCGCACGCCCCACACACTCCCGCCTGTGGATTACAGCGCTCTATCCCTCCCCACAAAACTGATTTATTTGGTGCAATTGATTTTCTGCTCTGGGCGGGAGATGCACGACAGAGTCGTTGCACTCTCGAGCCAGAGCCAGAGGAGCGAAGGAGCCCTAAGCCGCTTTATTCGTCTTGGTCTGACACCTCTGCCGCCGCCGCTGCTTCAGAAGACCTACCCCCTCGGCGCTTTGTCCTTTCACGAAGCCAAAGTTAAAGTGTCTCGCTGCTCGAACGAACAAGGGGGCAACACTTCGTTGGCCGCCTTCAGACGGTGGTAGAAAGTCCACATTCCTGCGGCCTCTGCAATGTCAAAGAACGAATTCTGAAGTGATGTTCAGGATGGAGGCCTGTCATACAAACTCGGTGGAGTTCTGCTCACATGCTTTGAGAAGAGTGCTCATCGCATAACATCGAAGCTGACATTTTAATTCGTCAGCTATGGAATATTCTGAGTTAAGTAAAAAAACAGTAATGTCAAAGTCAACGCGTGTCCTTTAACAAAACAGCATATGGCATGGCGTCCTGTTGGAAATGAGCCAGTGGTTGAAATACCACATTATTATGGGGGGGGGGGGACACTTTCTTCATAGCACAACCACCGTTGACTCCCCACAATGTGGTCATTTATTGACCCAGAGGGATGCCGAGTTGAGTCGACTCCTAACAAAAGATTTGAACGTTTTGAGAATCTGAAACTGGTGTTCAGCAGCAGAGCAGCAGATGGCAGAGCGTGACCGGGCCTTTTTGTGCGTTGGCGAGATGTCCCAGCAGAGACATAAATCGTGCCTCGCATAATTTCTTAAGAATTTTGGTTATTTGTGCTTGTGCTAATCTCCCTACACCTGCCACTGTGGACATGATATAGTTTCGCCCTTTGACTATTCACTGCTTAGACGAGGGTCTCCTTGTGTCAGTCATGGGGCTAGGTTGACCGTACTTCACCACGCTGGTCACTGCAGGTTGGCACAGAGGGTGTCCAGGACGCGTTCAGATTACCACTCACAACTAGTCTTAGCCACTCGCCAGTAGGATGCCGGGTTCATAGTGCCGTGCCCTAACCACGATGTGCCACCGCTCCCACCGCGTTTGTTTGTATTTGTATTGAATTAAGTTTGCTCCCAGAGGTGGGTAATTCATTAGATATCTGTTAGTTATGACTCACTGCACAGCGAGCAGCCACCCAACTTAGATGAGCACATGGTTTGTGTGCTAACCGCTGCACCTCTGCTCCCCCTCTACAGTACTCTCTTGACATGCCCTTCCTTATATGGTAACTCCTCGCTTAAGTGCGTGTTCAGCAAATGGGTGTTCGCTATCACGCGGGTTCTTCCACGAGGAAACACTTTCCGCATGACACGGGACGGGCACATTATAACGTGGAACCCGGCTCACCACGCACCATTATAACGCGGGTTTAAGAGAAGCTAACGACGAATTACTTTCTTGAGTTGTGCGGCTGAGCGGTGCGATACAGTACGTGGAATGATACAGTTACGCGGTGGCGTACTCTTAGTTATTTGTCCCGCCACCTCACTGTGCGTGCTTAGGTCGCATCTCGACAAACTTTATCGTCACGTCATAGATGAGGAAATTGTTTTCGGTTTAACGCTTTTTTCCCAGTGTAACGCTTCGCTTTTCAGGAACGCATCTACCGCTTTAAACGAGTTCTTGCCGTGTGTGTTACCGTAACCGCCCGCGTTCCCCGTCCCTGCCTTCCCGTACGCCGTGTCCCCTGCTGCTCCCAAAGCAGCCCAGCCGGCCGTGCCGGCCGCCCCACTGCTGCAGCTGGAGGAGTGCTCGACGCAGACCAACAGCGCCACGCTGTCGTGGAAGGCGTCGCCGCTGTCACCGGCCAACATCGAGGGATACGTCCTGGAGCTCGACGATGGCACCGAGGGCTTATTCAGGGTCCGGGGACCGCACGTGACATGGGGTTGTGGGAGAGCCTCCAGGGTTGGGTTTTCCACCTATTACAGGGGTCGGAAAACCCAAATAACAAGAAGAGGCATACTTTTGGAATTAGGTATAACAAAAGAACCCCGCAATATTTCAAGGTCCGCAATGCGTGTGAATACGAGATGGTGGTCCTTAATAGCCTCACCAAGCAGTCCTTAAAGAGCCGCAGGTTGTCAACCCCTGACCTATTCGGTACACAAACACGGCGCATATCAGGAGAATTAAGAATATCTCATGATACAGGACGAGGGGGGACCTATGGTGTAGCTGACGAACTGGCGGAAATGTTAGCTTCAATGTTTCTGGAAGATTTTTCAGCTTCCACAGGGGCGGCTGACTCGAAAATCCAGGATGGGCGGCAAAGCGTAGGCAGGGGGAATTCAGGGGGAGTGACGACACCGACGTGGGGAGACCAATTACACCTCATGACCGACCGTCGCCACGAGGCAATGTTAACGATGATGGTGCCGTGGTTTTGGTCTTAGCCGATACATCACTGCCAACACACGCGGGTATGGAAGATATTGGAGACGGACCAGATCCGATTTGTTATATCTCTCAGCTGTTGCACAGTCAACTCCTAACCCCCCCACCCCCACCCCCTTAAGGTATATTGCTGCAAAGTCTCCCATGATTGGGCTTTACCGTATTTTCTGTGATGATTGACTTCTGGATGCCACTTTTGTGTCCCACTGCCAATGCACATCTCGCACTGTGTTTCTAAAAAACACTTCGTAGTGGGCTGACACACTTGCCCCTTGTAAGCTGGATTTTCTATAATTAAGTGAAAAAAGCTAATTTTGTGATTTGGGAAATAATTGCAGTAGCAGGGCATGCTTTGTACGTACGTTGAACTTCTATGGCACCGTACGTAGCCAATCGTGCTAATCGATGGTGCGGGGGAAGGACAAAAATGATGGAGTACACTTCGGTCTTGAGAGATTAATATTTAGCTAGAAATGCACTAGGACACATGTAGGGTTGCCAACTTTCACTGGAGCTATTCCAGGAGAATTATTTTTCCAACATGACTGCCAAAAGAAAGAAAACATGCAATAAGATGACACCATTAAAGTTTTGAACAATGATGAATATCCGTACTGATTATGCACTTTCATTATATTAATAAATTTTCTTAAAATTCTTGTCACTCGTCACCCAGAGATCGATGCAAATTGTGGTTAGAGACTCCCAGCCAATCTGGGAGGTTTGGCGACCCTAGTAGACACGCGCTGTGTCTGCAGGAGGTGTACGTGGGCACGGAGACGCTGTGCACCGTGGATGGCCTGCACTTCAGCAGCACCTACAGCGCACGCGTCAAGGCCTTCAACAAAGCTGGAGTCGGGCCCTGCAGCAAGACCGTGGTGCTGCACACCTCCGAGGGTAGCGCTGACCCCGACACTAACGGTGACCCTGACCACAATCCTGGCCCTGGTCCTGACTTTTAAACTTACCCTAAATCTGTGCATAACTCTAACTAAACTTGACGGTAATCCTAATAACTCTAACCCTAACTGTTACCCTGAATCTTCAACCTGACCCTAACCTGAACTATCAACCTGATCCTGACCGATTCGTGTAACCCAATCACTTGAACCCTAAACTATTAATCACACTGACCCTGGTGGCCTGACCATAACACTAACCCTGACTCTTGGCTTGATACGAACCTCATCTCTCACCCAAATCCTAACCATACCATTGACATTCAAATCCTAACCCAAATCCTAACATTAACCTCGACTTTGAACTAATTGTGACCTACCTAACTTTAGCCTGGTACTAACACTAACCCTTACCTTGACACTAACCCCATCCACATCATAATCCTAATCCCACGACGATAACCCTAACCTTGACCGTGACTCTAATCTTGATCTTGACTCCACGTACTTTATGGCCTATACGTACTGTGTCTGCTCCTCCTCCGCTTTGCCACCCTCCAAAGTGGCGTGGTTCTCACTGGACCCCAGCTCCGCCCACCAGGACGTGATCCTGAGCAACGGGAACCTGACGGCGTCGTGCAGCAGCTACGACGAGCGCGTCGTGCTGGGCTCGGCGGGGTTCACGCGCGGGGTTCACTACTGGGAGGTGACGGTCGACCGCTACGACAACCACCCAGACCCCGCCTTCGGGGTCGCGCGCCTCGACGTCACGAGGGACGCGATGCTGGGTGGGTGGGTGGGTGCGTGCGGTGGGCTTCGAACTCGTGGATTGGTGGTCGACCCACTTCCAGGGATGGCTCGACGATGAAGTGGCGGGCCGTGCCGTGGTTGTAACGATCAGCTGCACACTGGACTTGCAACGCAGAGAACACCGGTCCGATTCGATCTCCCGGTGTGGTAGATGAATGAATGGAGAGGTTTCCTAAATCCTCCCTCCTGCCTCTGTCCACCCAGCAGCGTAGTTGGGTTCACTGCTAGTGTGAAAGAGTAGTAGGCCAAATACCCTCTAGGGCGGCCCTCTGAAGCTCCCTCATATGGAGACCCTTCTGCTTAGAGTGGCATGAGCAGGATATTGCAAGGCTGCTCCTTTACCTTGTTTTGCAGAGACTTCCTACCCATACTGTGTAAAAAGAAAATGCACACATTGATAGAAATAGTACTTACAAAGTAGTACTCGCGTTCCTCTTTCAATTATACTTAATAAGCCCTCCAAGAGGGAATCACACATCGATTTCTGCGTGTGCGATCCAAAGTGCTGGATTGCAGGCGTGCGCCAACACCCCACCGCGCAGACCGTTAATGGAGTGAATTTGCTCATCTTTGTATTAGTGCAGTGCAGTGGAGAACATTCCCCCGCTTAGTGTGCGCCTGTGGAGTGGTGTTGCAACGATTGATCGCATTTCTCTGCAATCCCGGCCACCTGCATTTCGTTCCCAGCCATGTGTGCTTGCGTGCATACAGGTGTGGCTAATTGCATTTTTTTGCCTGTCCTGACCATTCCCTAGGCTGACTTGCCCTTAAATGAGTCACTCATGCGGTGTATTAAGAGCAGCGCTGACGAGACACGGGTGGCCCGGACGAAGTGGCAAATACACCAGCCAAACAAGCGAGCAGCAACTTAAAAGGCGCACGAGGCTTAAAGCGCTCGTTGCTGCCATCTACCATGAGGCTGAACGGGGGAATCTGAAGTATATGTGTTTGTGTGCATCCAGGTAAAGACGATCGGGCTTGGGCCATGTACGTGGACAACAACCGGAGTTGGTTCATGCACAACAACTCGCATACACACAGGTAAACACCCTCACCACGCTCGCATGCTGAGGGGGTGACCAATGTCGACAATCGGCAGATTCGCTCAATGGCCAGCTGTGTCGTGGAGCATTGCATTACATGTGTGTCGTCGTGCAAAGGACGGGTAAAGTAATCTTGTGTTTTTTTTGTGGGGAAAAATAAATAAAATCGCAGTGGAGTATCTGCAACGGTTCCGCAGACCCCTTTCCCACGGCCTTGTCGAGGAGCAGAGGCTCGCGGATCGCAGGCCGGGAGCCACCGCTCACGCGTCTCTTAGGCAAAGTGAAGGGTCTCTGATGTTTACGTAACTTAATTTTACCGTGAATGGTTTTGCAAATGAGCATGTCCGAGTCAACTTTTGTTCCCGGAAAGGTATTTCTGTACGTAAAATTGTTGATGTTTGTACGCCATTTTCGATTTCTTCTGTAACGTGGCTGTTTTTTTATCCTATTTCTGTTTGCTCCATTGCGGTACTGTACTTGTTCACACGTTGCTTGCTTTCGTCACTTCGGTGTGCCCGGTCGCTCACTCTCTCCCATTGAGTTCTCACCTCGTTAAACTCAATAAACTTGAAACTTGCCTTCGTGTGCCCGCTTGTGCCCTCGCCGCAGGACGGAGGGCGGCATCGCGAAGGGCGCAACGGTCGGGGTGCTGCTCGACCTGACGCGACGCATCCTCGCCTTCTTCATCAATGATGAGCCGCAGGGTCCCGTGGCCTTCCATGACCTGCAGGGCATCTTCTTCCCAGCCATCAGCCTCAACCGCAACGTGCAGGTGCTTACAAATCGGTGACAAAAAGAGAATAATTCAGATGACAGGGGCATATAAGGTTTGAGGGCTGATGATGTGCAAACCTCCGATTAGCACGGCTGGCTACGCACGGTGCGAAAGAAGTTCAACAACATACATACAACCTACACGTGCATGTATGTTGAACTTCTTCCGTATGATCGTGAACAATTCACGTGCAGTTGTGTGCAGGGGCCTGCATCAGGTATGGGCAGGTATGTCTTATGGCCTTAATAGGTGTTTGCTAACAGGAGCCCCGTGCCTTCTTGTTCAGGTGACACTGCACACAGGGCTGGAGCCTCCAGACGTGCAGACGGAGGAGGAGGCGGCGGCGGTGGTGGCGTTGGCGCGGCCCACGGCGACCGTTTGAGCCCCGTTGCTACCAGCGGCATCTTCTCGAATCCTCGGAAGCACTTACCAAATTAAACTACGTGACGCAAATGCTGCACAGGTCACCGTGCCAGACTTGCAAAGTATAGAAACAGAAACGCGAGAGCTGAGCACGTCGAAATGAACGCATTTTAGAACTTTGCTCCAACAAGAACATTCGATTCATGGAATTGTCCACAGGTGGAGGATTTGCTTATCTGTCATGCCAATACCACCTGCCGTTTCTACTGCATTGTGAGGATGAGGGTAGGCACATACCCCTACCGGAATTGGTACACCCCCCCCACCCCCACACTGGGTACCTCCCCCTAATGAAATGTTACATTTTACGTTTGGGTTAAAATGGGGGGGGGGGGGGGGGTGGCTAAGAAAATGGTGTCTTGCACATACAGTGTTCCACAGTGGATGCTATAAAGTAGGCGTGCAGTGCGTAGCAGAGGTTAATTACGAAGGGTGGTTATCATAGAACCTTTTTGCTTGCAGTGGCGGGGAGTAAGACAGTAGAAATAACCCTTTACTGTCATCAAAATTACCAAAGTAATACTGTGTGATTACTCTATTATCAATGTGTAGACTATTGTTACTTGGCATGTACCAATTGGTTACATTTTTACATTTTATTTAAAGAAATATGTATTAAAATTCAACAATTCAAAAGACAAACAACCATTGCCACCAGCTTAGAGAAACTATACGTGTTAGTGACTTTGATCAATGCCAGAACAGCAACATCCGATGCATTTAGATCTCGCCACAAACCCCGCTAATTGTACACTTTGGCAGTGTTGGCGGCCCTGAGTGCGTGGTGGTAAATTCCTCTTTTGCCACATTGTCGGGAAAGCGCCGCCAAACTTTTGGTGTAAGACGGAGCCCCCTAATGGTGAGTCGACGTTAATGCATGAGCAGGTCCTGCCGAGGGCACCGGACGTCATGGTAATGGTAACGTACAGCAGACCTGATGTGCCTCCCGTCAGAGGCCAAGTGGGCCCTGAAGAGAACTGATGGCACCCCCCCCCCCCCCTGTACTCCCCTATTGGTCAGGACGCCAAAACTACCGTACACCAAGGCACTGTGACCCCGCCAAAGCTGTGAAACAATACAATGAACAGGGCATGCGATGAAGTTGCAGACATAGGGTTAAGGGTAGTGGAATAACCAGTACAAAGCTCGGTTGGTTAGGGGTAGGGCTAGCATTTCACGGGCTAGTTTGCTCCACCCCCAAACTGGTTGTTCCTCCTCCCCATTGCAAAATATCGCATTGTCGGTTGTTGGCTGCATTTCATTGCCGGCGTTTACAGCGCGTCTTCTGCCTGAGTTCTCCGCGACAGGAAGGTGGAATTGCGGTAGAGGTTTCTTTGCCTTGAAAGGCGAATTCACTCTGAGGTCTCCAGATACTCAACGGGAGCAGTGTTTGTCGATTGTCAGCCACCTGACTGCCTCTGTACTCAAATCAAAGTGTGTGTCCCCCCAACTCCCACCACCACCGTGTTCAAACACGCATTGGACAGCGCTCATCTCCCCCGAGCCAGTGGTACGGAGTCGACATCTCTACGGTGACGGACAGCCATCCCTCGAGGCCGGATGACCGGTGTAAACGTTCGACGTGTGAACGTTCCAAGTGGGACCTAACATCGCTTCGAAGTTAGTTTGCGCAGCCAGTGGCTACTGCTCAATGCTGAGCAGCAAGTTTGATGGTGTAAAAGAAGAAGCATCGGGGCAGTGACCGAAGGCGCAGCGATGTGAGCCGCTGTGCCGCTGTTAACGTCGATGGGGCCAGAGGGTGCGGAGCGGTGCACACCGCTCCGCCTTGGGTTTGGCAATGCTCAGTTTGCCGTGGGTATTGCACAGGCGCTTTTTTGCCATCGAGCCGTAAACTACGGGCACGGCCTGACTTAGCGGTGCCGTTATGGAACCAGCAAAGAGTGGCTTCGACTTCAACCTCGTGACAATTTTGTGCAGAAAAGGCTTCGAGGAACAAGTCTGGAAATTGGTGCCACAAATACAGCATTGCCGTTGTAATTTTGGCAAGCAAGGGTCAATGCACATATGCGAAGAAGCCCAATAGTTTTGCATAATTGACTATATTCACTCAATGAATATATAGGCAGAACCTTAATGGTTCATAGCACTAGTTTGCTGAGTTCGGCAGGATTACTCTTGGTCGGGGATGCTGCGAGTCGAAGTTTGTGCTTGCTGTATGCGTAGACTCTCAGATGTAGGGACATGTGACACCTGCTTGCCTAACATCACTGAAACGAGCGGGTGTCTGCACTCACACCGCCCTCGTGTTCCCTGCAGCCGCGCGGGTCCCGTTTCCACGAGTTTTTTGTCGGGCCCTTCGAGCCATGAACGCTCGAACACGGCGGGCACATTCCCCCAGACTCTTAGAGGGGGCCACCAGTCGCGAGACGAAACTACAAAGCGCATTGTCGGATAGGAGAGTGAGAAACTGAGGATACGCATTGGGGGGCACAAACTCACGTGAGCAATGTCTGCCGAGTGGTTCGGACACTCCAACCACAATGCTCCTTTAGAGTGCTGTTAAAGACAGTGCCTATACTATTTTGTCAAAATGAGTGAGGCCTTTCGTCCCATCGGAGTGATGAATCTGAAATCTCGTCAAAAGTCTCTCGCTCAAGCGGTGCTCATCTCTGGTGGTGGCCCTGAGCAAGTGGATGCAGTCCCACGTTGCTGGTGCAGAGGCCAGTATATTCGTAGGACTTTGCACAAAGTGGTACTCATTGAGCCAGGAAAGTTGAGAGGCTGTCGACCCCTGACTGGAATACAAATGATCGACCTCGTCGTGGTTGGAGCGGGAGAGAATATTTGAACAGAAATTATACCTAGACAGCAAAAAAGCAGCTAAACCTTTGCATTTGTTCCAGAAAGCTCTCCCAACTCGGCTGAGCGCTTAGTGCGTAGGTGTTTATAAGAGGTATTCATTGGTGAAATGACGATGTGGTATTTGGGAAATTGTGGGCAGTTCACCAAATTGAGCAACTTTGGCACTTCTTGCCAAACTTATGCAGCAAATGCATTACAATTCGTGGCCGATAGACGCTAAAAAGGTGCTTCTCATAAGCTTTCAGTGTTTTTCAATCAGTCTACGAGTATTGCTTTTATCCTGGCAAACACCACCAGCAGTTGTTTATAGAATACACCTCTCAGGAAAACGTTGATTCTCCATTCATGAGGTGGCCGCTTATCTCTTACTCCTCCTCTGGACTGCGCAGCTATGCAGCTGAGACCAATGCAGATTAAATAAAAGTTCAAGGTGTCACCCTGCTCAAACGGCGTCCTTGAGCAGCTGGTGGGAATTCCATGACTCCAAAGGTACGGTCAAGGAGACCAACACTGACCGACGCGAGCAATGGACAACAACGCGTCAACAGCAATTAGGTTTTGTACAATACCAGCGTCGCTTTCCGCCTGCATGTTAGGCTAGTGCCAAGTGGTAGCTTAGCATTTTGATGTCGCTGTGAATATACCACGAGGCGGAAGTAATAAGTGTCCGCCATTATGTGTACGCGATGCATGCTGGGACTTAATTGGGTGTGGGGGGGTCCAGGCGTGATCTAAGTAAAAGAAGAAACATGCAATTTCTTAAATTTGTTTCCATCTTTTACATTTTTTTAAAATACGTTTTTCGATTAAATTTACAGTATTTCGTTGATAATGTTCAACCAATACCAGCCATGAACCACATTTGTGCCAGAAAAAATGCGTGTGCTGGCCACCTGTCCCATCGCCCAGTGTGTCCAGCATTTAAGTCAAGCAGCGCTGAACAAGCGCAGGTGCTGTCCTGAGCCTTTCTGTACTCTAATGCAATTCATGTGCAAAAGATTTGACGACTTATATTTGTATGTTAAGGCTGCAGCGAATCTGTACTCACATTGGGGGGTATGGGGTATGGTTGGATGTTAAATGTACAACCAAAATCCAGTTTTAATTCCAATAATTTCTGACCATATACCATGTGACCATGCATGGATAGGATGTACATGAGAATATTCCACTTGTGGTGGTGAATCACTTCTGAAGGTCCCATCACCCACATTATAAGATGGCATGTCATACAACAAGGCATGCTGTCACCTGAACACTGGCTACAAATGTCCTGCCATAGCGTATTTTAAACCCACAATATCAGTTCAGGCGAGGTGAGCAATTGCGAGAGATTATAGTCAAAATTTGGCAAAAAAAATCCATTGCCCCATCGAGATCCATAAGTACCCACAGACTTGTGGCTGCGACTCATTAATATCTGGATTTCTGCACATTGAGACTACGCCACTCCACGTGGAGATGTTAGGATGCACCTATCACATGTTGAGATCTCACTCGTTCATGTGTGTGATTTCACGTTGAGGTCAAGCTACAACTTGTTGAGCGCCGCTGAATATTCGGGACCGTTTGTTTCTAGAGCTCGAAATGTGCTGGTGGAACTCCATACAGGGTTAGCGGTCGTGTAACTCAATACATATTAGTGGAACACAACTTGCGGTAGTTAGATCTCAACAAATGGTGCCCGCAACTGGCATTGGAGGGCCAATGGTAGAACTCAATGGACTTTTAAAATCCACATTTGGCAGGTAGAGCTCCTCATCTTGAGACCGGGCTCCTTTAGTCAAAGCCAGGGCAGACTCGATACTCCAGTATTTACTGCTGCGTGTGCGGTATATATATATCTGTGGTGACCCCGTTTGGGATTGGAAGGGTCTTTGCGACTGACCGTCGACTTCCTCGGACATCACATTTCATTTTGTAATCCCCACCACCCGGACCAGGAGTGTGATTGCGTTTGACAAGGATCAGCCGATCCATTCCTCTCCAATCCCTTCCTCTTAACCACACTCTGGGTGGGACATTGCTTTTACTTTAAATTCAATTTATCAGCAGTGAACGGATAGATGGGTAGATAGATCTATACATTACTTTTATATATAACAAGGTAAGAGCCCATTGAGACTAGAAGTCTCTTTTTCAAGGGCGACTTAGATGTTGTGGCCAAACTGTGTAAGGATTCTGGGCCTTGCTGGTTGGGGTGATACGCTGTAGAAAGGGTCTCTATACTTTAAAAAGCTGCACACACGAGGCTAGAATCACCAGCTGACCTGATTCTAAATGTTTGTCAATGTGAATTGTCACCGCGAAGCAGTGACGTTATGGAATTTCTGCTCCGTTGCTCACTGTATCAGATCCTCTTATCCATAGAGGTGCACATTGTCAATGCAAACGGTGCTACATTAATGTTGACCCTTCATTGGGATTTCAGCCTTGCTACTTGGTAGGGTGAGCTGATCGTGGAACGGTGGTGCATGAGTACCTTTAAAGGATCCTTATGAGAATGTGATCACACCAGTCCAATTGTGCTGAACATTAACGGGAGTGGCTCAACCAATATTGTGTAAATGTTTGGCACAGGCAGTGTTTTAACTGATCCTTTAAAGGTTCAAAGAGCTCCTATGTCATGGAATAAATTAAACCTTACAAGGAGCTACTTAGGAGGTCACTCATGAAATAGAAAACCCTGATTGTAATATAATACGTTGGACTGACAGGGCGGCTCAGAGACCCGGAGTCGCAGTGTTCGATACAATAACGTGGTGCCGTTTTAAATCTGTGCAACTGAGGATGACAACTGGGTCAGAAAATTGTCAATGCACTCGCCATTGAGCTCAGTGGGATAACTATGGTGCACCAACGCAGTTTTGTGAAAGATACGTTAACGACCTGGGCTTAATTTATCATTTCCCCCCCCACCCGCCCCTCAACGCCCGAGGGGCGGGTGGGGGGGGGGAATATTTTCTGGAGCTCAGCCCTGAACAGCTAAGGCTGAAATTAAGCCCTGTTATTGACCCTGTGACTTCATTTACAGGAGTATGCAACTGTTTTATGGAATATAGCCATAATGTAAAGTTAAAATATAAGTAGCAACTACATTTTGGTGAAACAATAATATACCTGGCGAGGTGTAGCTGTAGTTAAGTGCGGGACTCACAATCGTAAGGTTGAAATCATGGGTCCAGGGGTTGACTCAGGCCATCTTCTCTGTGGGGTCAGTTGAATGTGAGAAATTAATATCACGTATGTATGTTGGACTTTTTTCGCACCGTACGCAGCCAACCGTGCTAATCGGAGGTGCGGGAATAGGACAACAAACTAAACATAAAAAGCAGTTATAAAGAAATTAGTTTTCAATGTATCACTGTGAGAAGTCAACAGGGTTTTGTCCGATAATGACACTGCCCACACCATGGGATTGTGGATTGTCTACAACTGGCTCAGGACTGCTAATGGAAATGCGTTTCAACCCTTTGTTCATTCGAACGGGGAGACACTTTCAATTTAATTATAATGTGTTTAATTGTATGGTACTTGGCTGTACTTCAAAATAATTTGTGGCAAATTGTACTTTGAGCTGATTTCCAAAATAATTTTTTTTATTGAGTTTAAATCTATTGTAATGTTCATTTTCAACATGCATAACAGATTTAAATTACATTTTGTAAAAGTAAAAACCCACAAGGAAAAAAGCAGCTTCCCACTCAAAACGAGCCCGGGGTGATTTTCACCCCCCAATGCCATCCTTGTCCCACTGTTGGAAATTCCCACAAAGTATATAGCTCACGTGATCAATCCCAGAGGGGATGCAGGGCTGAGTCAATCCCAAAGAGAGCGATTTTAACTTTCATTATGTGACTCTAGCATTCTGGGTCAGTGTCACCTGGATGAGAATAATAACTTCGGCAATTAAACCTATTCACAGACTGGCGCAGCTACAAGGGTGTTATTTTTGTTTAACTGGCACACTGGCTGTGAGCATCCGGTGCCGCGTGGCGCTGGGTAGAGAGATGTCCGCCCTTCTCCCCGTCGCCTATCGCACGCGCTGGCAAACAACGTGGACGCGTCTTATTCCCCCCCCCCCCCCCCGCACTGGCACCCGATACCGGGGGAGGTTGACGTTTGTGTCACATAAAGAAAGAAAAAAACACAGGTGCTGACTGCTGCTGTGGCGAAGATATCTGCAGCACGTCCTGCTGTCTACCTGTAAACACAATCGGCCTTAATCACACAAAGTCGAGCAACCACATCGATTCACACAATCGTTTTTTTTGTTAATTAGCGAAATTGGTGAAGCGTCAACAAAGTTTTACGATATACAATAATGCATATAGTGTCGTAAACAGTGGTCGTTTTTTTGTAAAATAAAATAGATAAAAATTCATTTATATTTAACACAAAATTAAAAACTGCATGTAAGGGTAAAAGTGTGCATCGGAATACGCGATTATAAGATATATTTATAACATTTTGTAAAATGACGACACTAAAATATAAAATTTCAAAATGTTGATGTTAATAATGGAGACTTGTACAGGTACACCAAATATTGCAAAAAGGTATTGACGTCAACGCCTGTGCTCCCACCAATGTGTATCAGCCCCAAATGATCAGCAATGCTGTCAGTTTGGAATTGGAGGACAGGGTTTTTTTTGTTAGCATGATTAGGAGTGATCGCGTGGTGCTTAGAAACGATCGAGACACGCAACTTTAGAATAGCGGTTGTACTCGAGGCAGAGGTCGCAAACGGGTTTTGATTCCTTACTCGTACCCGTACCCGGCCGCACCAGGGTCGCAAACGGGTACCCGTACCCGGCCGTACCTGTACCCTACCCGTACCCGGCTGGGTATCGGGTAGGGTACGGGTATCGGGTACCCGATTGCGACCTCTGGGATGAAGCCATGTTGCAGGCGCGGGTGGGTTAATTCTAGGAACTTGAATTGTGAGAAGAGACAAGACGTTGGGAAATGAGTGACAAACGGTTACTCACCAGTGACTCACGGCCTACCCGTACCCGTACCCGGCCGCACCAGGGTCGCAAACGGGTAGCCGGGTATCGGGTAGTACGGGTATCGGGTACCCAATTGCGACCTCTGACTCGAGGCCACATGTTGTTATCGCTGTTTCGTGGACGTGGGGAAGTAGTCGTTCTCTCGAACGCCAGCGGATATTTGTTTGTTACTAAAGCTAATCCACGTTTTCTCTTAAAGTGGCTGCTCTAACGTGTGCGTCGCCCCAAGCTCACTTGTCACTTGTGTATGAAGGTGGTGCTAACAGTCTGTATTGCATCACTGTAATTATTGTAAATGAGACACAAGCGATGTACTAAATGTATTCTCAAACAAGCGTGGAATGGTTAAGTTCAAGTCGATTTAATTTTTGGTTAAACACGTGGCGACTTTTTGGCACAAATCTGCCACGCAAAAGGCCCATCACATTAATACCCATAAACATAAACATAATATACAATTCTATACCGCAGCGAGAGAGAGAACAAATATACAATTAAAAGTTATGTAAAACTTTAAAACAATGAAAGCAAGTTGTGGCTGTGAGTTAGTCGTTGTATGCAAGCGCAAAGAAAGGGTAACGCCTATTGTTGTTTTAATAATTTTGATACTGGCGAAACGGTCCCATAGGTAGATGTGTTTTTGAGTTGTGACTTGAATGTAGTGATGGAGTCGATTGTGCGTAATGTTCCAGAGGTGTGGTGCTACAAATGAGATGGTGTTCATATCCGTTGGTGACCCTGAACCAGTCATGGATATTTCAAATTCCGGTGACATAGGCACATTTCTGCATACGAGAGTCACTGTTCACATTTGACAAAGTGGATTTGCAACCCAGGAGAGATGATTGGCTAAGCATCCGGTGTTTGAACTCAGAACTTTGCAATTGTGAGTTGAGCACACTTGCCACAATGCAACCAGATCAGATGTTTTGTACATTGTATGCACTTGTTTGACTTGGTAAGGTTGAGTCTCGAGACTTGTTTTTGCAGGAGGGTACTGCTTAGGACGTTTGTACAAATCCTATTTGAGGTGTTTGTGTGCTCTCAAAGATTGAGAGGCGAACACAAGCTGTCCACAAATATTTGTACTTAATTGTTTATTGACTTTGTAAAATAAGACCATTACGGTACCGGGCCACCTTGGGTACACATGGGACTGGTTTCACTCCTAAGATCCTCCCCATTTAGTATTATTTATGTGAAATCTGAAATATGATAATAACCATAATAAAAACAGGATGTTTTTTGTTATATTTTATTAACACCATTACCCATGAAAATGCAGGCTCACGTTGGAATGTATGAATCACGGAATCTTTTTTTAGATAAGGTCTGTATTTCTGCATGAGGTCACACATTCTTAAGTCAAACCATAGGACCTCCACGTCAATATGGTACAAAAATGTCAGATCAATGCTTAATAATACAAAGATTAAGCTCGTATATAAATGCATTCTTAGGTTGATAAAACAAACGCTCAAACTGGGACATTAAATCTCTTTGAAGGGAAATTTATTATTGATGTTTAAAATACAGGCTTGCTAAGGGTTATAATTTCTTTATTTTAGAACTTAAGGTTATCTATGGACATCTGGCTGGGTGGCTCAGGGTGCCAATTTCATGATAATTGTTTTTTTATCCTTTTATCTGGCAACAAAATTGACACCTTTTTTTACAAGGAGTAATGTTTGCATTGACCACAATACCTGCGGTCGGAATGCAAACAAACATCACAACTCTGATAATGTATGCACTGTCCTTGAAATTGATTGGTCCACACCCGAGACAGCTTTCCTTAGAGCCTAGTCTCACATGGTGTTGGACCAGATGACGCCAAAAGGCGCACAACTCAAAGGTGTCAGTTTTGTTGCCAGTTAAAAGGGTAAAACAACAATTATCATCGTTTGCTACTGGCAAAGGAGGTTCCAATGGTGCCAATTCCATGGTTGATACTGACCTGGCATCTCCAGGATGGGGTATTTGAATTCTCGGTCACCCATGATTCAACCGTGTTCTCAAGCCTAATTCGCAGCATATTAAATTAGCGTTTCATTATGATGACACATTCAAGCTTTTTGGATGATCTATTTAAGTATGATTACCATTTGACAAACGCCCTTTGCATGGCATATTAACATGTGGGCCAACGAGTATTGATATGAGCCCTGTGGAAGGGAATTGAAAAGTACTTTCCTCCTGTGACATTGTTTGGAAGCTGTTCTTTAACAGGGTGAGTCACTGCTCTGAGTGGATCTGTCTTCATCTCGCGGCAACATGATTCTGATGGTGTAATTGGAATTTACTTTAATTGGAAGACTAAAGTATAAGTACAGAAATAATGGAATTTGTGCACGCGTCAATGTTGAAGTATGAACACGTGACAATGTGTACGCTGTGTGCAGTAGTAAAATTGGCTTTTTCCCCATCATGGATGTTCTAAAATGTACATGTATACTGTGCTATACGTTAAAGCCTTAATGTGTGCAGGTAGCAGTTAAGCTATATGTGACGAGTTATGTTTAGCATTTCAGCGTATTTAAACTCGAAGAGGGAAGCGGTGAAATGATGGCGCATACACAAACGTGTGTACAGGATCGGCCACACGTGTACATGTGACCTATGAGTGCAGTATGGCACTGCATATGGCATAATATTTATCGTACGTATTTTAAGCTACGTGGCTTGAAGCCATAATGTATGGAGGATACGGTAAGGTATAATATGGTAAAGGGCCATAAGATGTTATACAATCTGTTGTTATGATGTCACAAGGTCATGCAGCTATAATTCGTGTTGTGACACGTTAAGCTCCGTCCATACGTAGCAACTGTCGTAGAGCAGCAAGACACAGCGAGGTCGAGCGAACTTGGAGGTGGCCTTGTTGACGGGGACAATTCGAGGCGACTGTGATGTCATATGCCTGCTCAATGGCTCGTCCAGGCCATGCGCCACTAATTCGATGAAGATAACAGCGTCGCCCGATGCGACTTTGGGTGTGCCATTTTTTAAGCGGGCACAACTTCAGATGAGAAACACGCGGGAATTGCTACGTGTGGACTTCGCTTCGTATTGACGTGAGCATCGTCAACGATGAAGACCGCTGAAGCGTCGTGCACTGACTCCGATACCAAGGCTATATAACCAAACCGCAAGCGGTCACATCGGAAAGCACCACCACGTTGGCATAACTCGTCATGACTAAACCTACTTGCACGCTTGTGCGCTTTACTCAGTAGTCGATCAACAGCAAGTAATCATGCTCATGAAAAAACACATTTTGCAGCTTCCTGTTCATGCCGTATGCCTGGTGGTGGTTGTTGTAGTTGGCGTCACAGAGTCATTCAACTGAAAATATCTCCTAACTTGTTTTGGAACAGAGCTGTGAGCTCAACTCTCTGAAGCCCGAAGTGGGAGCTTGTATTTCACGTTTGCATTTGAACGAGAGATGTGCTGTCTAAAAAGAAGCGGCTGACATTGTCTGCAAAACTGACGGAGCAGGTAAAAAAAAGCCCACAGGCGACACTTATGTGAAATATAATTTGGAATATTTAATTCAAGCATCTTTAATACACGCCTATCATTCTTTACAATGTCATAAAGAGTCAAATCTATTCATTTTGGTCAGCCTTCCCACACCATGTAATAAACTAGGCATGACTAAATGATATGACATCCGTTGAATTGGTCATCAGGAGCTAATTATCGCTGAACTACATCGATCTTGAGGTCTGAAACACGGAGATTTCCTAAAGACACCGTTGAGAAAGCCACGGGGATCGGCAATCTGCAGCTACAGAGCTGCATGCGAATCTTTAAGGGGCACACGTCTCATATTTGCCACGTGCATTGCGGCTCTTGAAATATTGAATATTTTTTGTTATAAAACGAATTCGAAAAAATGGCTCAACTTGTTATTTTGGTTTGCCGACCCCTCTGGATATTCCTTGTAACACAGAGTCAAGTTCAAGCGTGTTCACGCCCCAGTGGGCACGGGGGGGAGATGCCCATCTCTGTAGCCCAGTCAGCGGTGGAAATTCCACGATGACGTACGGTGAGAAAGAAGTTTCAACATCCATGCTTGTACAATAGTTGAACGCAAGTGGCGACAGAACTTAAACACTTAAACCTAAACCTGAGCACGTATCGCCCCTAAAATCTGTCACCTCAGACACTGCCACCCCCCCCCCTTAAATGGAGGAAATTAAATAGTAATCATTGACTACGAACTCTTATCGTCTCTATGTCTGTGTCATGCTGCATCTCTCACATTCTCCATGTCTTTGGCTACCTCTGTAGTTATGCTTCTCTCTGTCACTCCGTGTCTCTGTCTGTGTCTCTCTCCCTGTTTCTCAGAAAAGATGGGGGCGACCCCTCACCCCACCCTTTTCCACTAGACCGCAACCCCCCTTGAATCATTATGTTATACCGCTTCTGACTGTCAATGAATGTCCCTATCCATTTGCTTAATTGGCAGCTTATGCGGTATGTTTGGAAGATCTGGGTGAGCTCACGTTTAGGTTAGGTGGCTTTGAACTGTCGCAAGTCATGTCTGAAAGGTCACGATTTGCGGTGTTCTGCACGCACAATCATTATGTCCGTCATTGCGGTGCTACTTATCAATACGTTGGGCATTCAAATAGACACTTCACCCTGGTACTTGAATAAATTGTAGGCCACTGTGCAGGGAGCTGATTTTCACGCCAGGCAGTATCGTATCTTCTGCTCTACAGTGTTATATATAACGTGTGAAAAATAATAAGCACAGTTAAACAGATTTGTTCTTTAAATACAATTGTCTTTTTTTCCCATTATAAAGCTGTCTCAGTTCAACAGCAGAACATCCATCATGACGGGAGAATATTGTTATGGCAGGGTTAAAAAATAATGTAATTATGTTGCTGTGTGTGTGGATATATACACACATATATGTCACTGCATTTAATCCACCAAGATGTTGCTGTTGAGTTGTGGAATTGTGCTTTGTGTGCTTTGGAAGATTGAGTTCAAGTCAGAGTAAGACTTGGCTCATCATCCCTTGCGGACTGATTATAGGACATCAACAGTGATCATATTTTGGAGATACGTTTACCTCTGATGGGTATGTGGACGTTTCATCTCTGGCTTAGGATTACCAACTGAGATGAGACTTGCTCTGGTTGTTAATTTGAGAGTGCAGACACTAACTTTGGCTTGACTCAGGCATTGCATTTTGGGTATTTTGCACAATGCTCTGCGTACCAAATACATTTTACGTACCGTGCGTTGGTTCAAATGAGTGTCTACGCAATGATCCTCACTTTCATATCGACTTATTATATATATCCAATAAGACATCTTTTATCAACTCAAATGAGCAATGGGGCAGAGATTGTCCACTGATGACCATGACCCAGACACTTACATACCATATTCCCATGGCGAGGCCCTTCGAATAACAGGGGCTTAATGTCCACGCACAACTCGCGAGAATGCAAACTACGGTACATTCTATGCATCGACCCAACAAAGTGATTGGACTGTGGCTTTTAAGGCTCCGTATAAATGTGCAGTTGTCGTGCTAATGTAGAGTCTGCTGTTTAGCCTATTATCTCTCTCAACGCGCAGTGTTATACCGTGAACATGTAAGTGTGCAGTTGGCATGTGAACCACAAGCTGTTTAACTGTTAGCGGATAGCCACCGAGCAAGCATACACACAAGTCATGGCTATATTTGTTTTTATATATTTCAAGATGTTTTAGATCTGTCTGTACAAGGTGATTGTCTGGAGGGCCTGGGTGGGCGCTTGTTGATGTTGCCGCATTAGGCACGCCAGGTCGTAGCTATAATAAAGTGCGGTGTTACTATTAAACGCTGTCTTATCACAGTACTAAATGTCCATTTGTCTGATTTCATAATCCACGAGTCGAATCTACATCAAAACTCTCGAGTGTGAGGATGGGAAATGCTGTGAGAGTGGCCACTTTGTGGACAAGAAGACGTGAATATTAGTCGTTTTTTTTTATTTCAGAGTTTTTAAAGCAGTTATCCGATTCAGCAGCTACTGCGGCTGCTGCTGCGATTCACCGGCAAAGGGGCCATAATACTGGTAGGAACCTCCTGGTTACACCCTGATTCACCGCAAAGGGGCCATAATACTGGTAGGAACCTCCTGGTTACACCAGCCCACAGGGGATTATTGTGTCCATCGTGCAGGGAGTGGCTGGGTGGGGAGGGAGGGGCTGGGTGGGTGGGGAGGGGAGGGGAGGGTGGGGCGGGGCTGGGTGGGGAGGGTGGGGAGGGGCTGGGTGGGGAGGGGTGGGGCTGGGTGGGGAAGGGCTGGCCACTCCGTCGTGCCCTTATAAAACTCAACGTTTAACCTACTCACGCCGGCTTGTGCCCGCCCTCACAGTCGGCCATATTTGCGGAATACACCACGTCGCCGTTGACCCTGGCCATTGACCAAGCAACCCAACGTTCCCTCCGCAGGAATGTGTTGTCACCATGGAGCAGAGTCCGAACATCGGGTCGGGTACCCGAGAAGCGGGTGGGAACTAAGTCGTGTTACGGCTCGCCGTTCGGGTGCGAGTCCCGGGTCACGCTCAGCATACCACGTTCTCGCCATGAACCCACCCTCACCCGAATGGCAAGCCGTCGAAACGATTTAGGTTCGGACCCGCTTTTACGGGTGCCTGACCCGATGCAGAACTCTACCGTGGAGTTTGTTCTGTAGTCTGGCTGAACGTTGAAGCCAAGTGGCAAAGGCCTGTTTGCTGCAGGTGATGAGGGACACGTTCTTAGGTATTATAATAGGTTGACCGCCACTAAGTTGACTGGCAGATGCACCAGCTGCACTCCCAACTAATAATGTGCACTGATTGGCTGTTTAGCCAGATAATGCTCCGAAGGATTTTGTTTCTGTACGCCTTGATATATTGGTGGCATCTGAGTCTAGGTCTCCTCTAGGTAAATTCAACTTCACATGTTACTTGGTTAGGTGTGTGAATAAGAAAATCACCACGCATACGTACATCACTGAGAAGCCACGGATGGGAAATGCGCTTGATCCGACTAATCCATTATTCTCTCGTGTGCTGTGACTGCCTTAATATGCACATAACACCTTTCGAGCCAGTCTTATTGCTAATCATGTTAAGAGCATCAGCCCTGTCAGTCAAGGACTGGCAGAGAAGAAAGGACTTGCTGGCAGGTGCACAATTTTTCCAAGTGACTCACACTCCCTACCTAGCGTCTCGCCCTGTGAAAAGTGAAGGTACTGTATTCCTCATTCAAGTAAATGTCATCACGAAACGCAACTGATTGTGGGTTGTGGGGCTTATTCGACCCCTTTCTCTCCCCTCTCATGCTCTTATCTCTTCTCCAGTGGGTTCCCATGGCTGTCAGCCCCTTTGGGGGAGACGACTATGTTTTCATGAGCCACAGAATTAGAGTAAGTACTCAAATTGCTTCTCCAACCCCGTATTTTCATATTTCAAGTTCACTAATTTCTCCAGGCCAATTTCGTTTCACAGAATGTCCCGAATTTCTGTCCTGAGCAGAAATGCATCACCAAATACGTTACAATCAGCAATGTTGTAGGCAGCAAGAACATTTAATGTTACATTTTATTTAAAATCCAGTGGTTACCTTTTTAAACTATTGTGGGAAAGTCTTACTCTGGAGTATTTTTTGGAAAACCCCGTCCAACTCGTGTCCCAGTTTAAGTAACTTTGAACATACGGAAACACCGCTTTTCACCAAATGATGTTGTGGTTTAATTAGAGTTCAAGTCAACGCAAGTACGTCAGCAGAGGAAAAACACCGGCGGTACCTTTGCCGATGTTTTTTTTTGCATAACGCACAAAGGCGGAGCGCGTTTTACACGTTTTTATGTGCCGCTTGAAACGTGTGCTTTATCCGGCCCGCACTATATGGACCTAATAGCGCTACCCCAGGGTTCCATAGTATCCCGGATCTCGCATAATGTCAGTTGATGGTCGACGATGCGGCAATCGATTCATCTCGACGAGCTGTACACGATGTACTATTCAAAGTAGAATTTTTCGATAACCGATTTTTTTTTATGCTAATGTTTGGCGTTTCGACATCGCGGAGTAGCACTGATTTCGGATTGATTGGTATCCCAGTCGCGGAGTTAAGTACACCCCTGGAAAAAAAATTGTGTCCCAGAAATAAAATATTTAATTGCCTCGGACAGTTTGTATTATTTGGAACCCCGGGGTACCGCCATAAAGATCACGTGTCTGTTAACGATTGTTTTTTTTCGCGTATTTTTGGGGGATCGTCGGCTTACTGTCGTGGGGTTCTTCTGCCACGTGGTGGCGCAGTGGACACGGTGTGTGAGCAAGTGTCCTTTCTCTGTTGCCAGGCCCATTCCTTCCTGCACGGCTGTTGGTGAGGCCAAGTCCCCTAAATGCGCTTTTAGCCCCACCCGCGCTGCTGTGCTGCTTGACGCGAGATCGGTAAAAGCCCTGCACTGGACCGTGAATTGCAAACGACGGGCGGTGGTGGCAATGCACTCTTCCAATCCAGCACTGTGGAGGTTAGGGTTGGTGGGTTACACAAATGCTGTGAAACTCTTCCCGTGGGCTTGCCAAAAGAATGCGGTGCAGCAAATGCGAACTTAAAAGTGGCCCGAGTTTCCCCCACCCCACCATCAACCGATACTGACTGATTCAACAAGAGAATATTGTAACAATTACAGTGCTAGTGCTCAACAGACAAATAATATCCCCCAATTTAATACCGATGCTGTCATCAGCATCATGTCGTGAGACAAAGTATTCATGCAGATCTCTCGAGCAGTGCAACCCTTCGTGGTAGAGAAAAAACCCACGGAAGTGTATATCAGAGAGCTACTGAATATGTCCCTTGATGTGATCTCAGAAGATCAGCACTTTCCCACCCACTGCTCGAAACCCTTCGGTGGCGCTCCAAGGTCACCTTGAATTTTTCCATGGTTTTCCCTCGACATTTAGAAACGTGCGTTTAGGTTGTTGTTTGGCTGCAACTATGAATTCTTACATGTGATGTGATAAATTCCATTCGTGAGTGGTTTTGCTTGTGGGAGAAAAAAACCTGGAGGACGCAGAGAAAACCCACCCATATGTGGGGTAACTCAAAGCACCGCACTTATTTATTCAACCAAAGGGCAGGACACAATACTTGAAGGGGTAACACACAGGGAGACACCACTAGCGCTAGTCTGCTCCCAGGTCCTCCACTAGAGAGCTAGGGGAGGCTAGCTGATCCAGCTCTGGCCAAGCTAGAATCTCGGCACCCTTAGCCTACCAGACCAGCTCTTACAAGAGCATCGGTTCTGAGCTGGTCGGCCCTTAGAAGGACAGCGAGCCAGTGGAGTCCCAGGGCTGGTCTTTACTCTTCACTGGTTTAAGCTGTAATACTGGACCCCGAGCCCACCGGCTCCCCGCCTTATATAGCAACTCCCCCCCGAGGGGTGGGGCCGTGGGGGATCACAGCGCCGTCACAGCCCCCCAGGGCTAACCGTTGCGGACGTGGATGTAGGCATCCTTACGCGTGCGGGCGCAAACACCCCTTGTGTGTTTGTTTGCCCTCCCGTAACACACGTACTGCTCGTATTGCAAGACCTCGCTCGTTTATCAAATTCATATTTATTTAAAATTTTAGCTCGTCCTGCAAAACATTCGCAGACCAAGTTACTCGCAATCCAAGGTTTTACTGTACTTGACTTGGACTGTTTAGAATCCTCCGTTGGTTAGACGCTCCGTTAGTTGAACACATGACGTCACTTCCGGTCTGGCAGTGTAAAAGGGAAGCCAGGAGAAGAACCAGATGGAACGAGTGGGACAGTCTTTGGTCGTGTGATAACGTGATAAAGTAAAAGGCGAAAATTCTAGATTCATACTCTTAGGTTTTTTCGGTAAAGTCACATAGGTAAAAAAATAGAAATAAAATAATAATATAATAAATTTCATATTACTATTTTATTTCTATTATTTCTATTAATTTATTACTACGTGACTTTAGCGAAAAAACCTAAGAGTATAAAAAGCGAAATATAACTTTGGAATTCGTTCGTTTTGTGCAACTATGAAATAAAGAAACAGTTTTTGATTTAAGACACGTCAAGACTTATTGCTCCACCGGGTTAAGGCGTAGCTTATTTTTTGGTACAAGAAAGCTGCGCCTACACTTATATTAATAAAAGTTTCCATCCTGACTCCCGCTATTATGCCATCGTAGATGCCTATCCGCTAGTGAAAGCTGTGGTAGCCTTTGTCATCGAAATTGTGTATTTTGCACGCTCACTAAAGCTGGGCCTACCCCAAGTCAGAGTAATATGCAAAGTGACTACATACACAATGCATCAGCAAGCTAGCTAACCCATGTATTTGGGAGATGGTGCCTTCTTCCTATACAGATCTCCATTGGCGGCTCAGAGAAAATGGTGGTAGAGACAGTCTCACAATAGGACAAAGGTCGCGGCTCACCAGCCACAAATTTGATTCACTCTCAAATGATGATCAGTTGATTCGATCCCTGACCAGAATGTGAACCTGTGACCTTCCCGGCTGCAAGTTGAGCACTCAAACCACTGCGCCACCCGATCGGTGTACGTGACTATGCATGACGCCACATGTGACCTTCAGGACCGTCCATGCACTGGCATGGTAGCTATTCTCCACAAATAGCTATGCCCCGTTTTGGTGTTCCGGACGCCTGGCATTTCATCTCAGAGACATCACACCATCTGGCCTAGCATGTGCAATGTCTGCAGTCTGGAGCAGAAGGAACGTTCAAACTATCTGGCTTTCACGCCCCCTGCTCCTTGACAAATATGGAACTGTA